AGAACTCCGACTTTTGTCTCATCTTTGGAATTCCAAGTTGGCTCATGCCTTTACGTGACCGCAGCGGTCAGAGGTGGCGGCCTTCGGGCAAGCCGTACGTGGTCGCAGCGACCAAAGCTTCTTCAAGGTTCACTGGAACCTGTCGAGAGCTTAGCCCCCCCTCCTCCCCCTTCCCTCCCCTTTCTTTCTTTGCTTTCTGGTGTTTTCGTGAATGGAATACTCAGGATCAGCCCTCTCTTTCTATGGTGTGTCCCTGGACGATTGTTCGTAGCTGGGAACACCTTCCTTTCTCTCCTCTCCCTTTCTCTCCCTTTCTCTTTCTTTCCTTCTCTCTTTCCTCTCTTCACCTTCTTCTTTGGGTGTCCCTGGACGCTTTCGTCATAGCTGGGAGCCCTTCCTTTTTGGTGTGTCCTTGGACGCTTGTGTCGTAGCTGGGAGCACCTTTGTTTCCTTCTTTCTTTCCCTCTCTTTTCTTCCTCCCCCTTCCCCCCCTCTGTCCTCGCGCGCGGTGTGTTTACAAGCAAACTAGGCTTCTGCAACAGGTTCTTTTAATGAGGTTTGGACTGTCATCGGTTTGTCCCCGTTCATTTGGTTCCCCTTTCATCGGCCCCCACAGACGTTTTTCCTCCTTTCTTTCATGTCTTTCTGTCTTCATGTCTCTTCATCCTCATCCTTTCTTTCTCTTGCGCGTACTATCGTCCGGACCTTAGTTTGCACACATACACGCACGCGTACTCTACTTACAACGAGGTTCAGGTGGCCCAGGTTTGTTACAATGAGGTTTGGTTCACCGGTTGTCCCTCTTCACTTGGTTCTTCTTCATCGGCAACCACACACACACACACACCTTTGTCTGTCTCGTTCTTTCATTTTCATCTGTCCCTTTTGCGTGCACATGTGCCAGGATGGAGGCCACACATGCCTCCCTTCGGGGAGGCGTGTGTGTGTGTAACCCTTGACGGTCGATTTCCTAGTCACGCCAATGACGCTATGGAAATCGACTGGATGGAAGTTTGGACGCAAACTTCCGTACCTGTGCCACCATTTAGGAAAACAGGAGGAAATGGTACTCGACACACTTGTGTGTCGGTGCCTTTCCTTCTGTTTTCCTCTAGACTACTCTACAGGTTTGCAGGTAGGCCTTTGTAAGGGGTTCTTTAACCTGAACTTTGGCCTCGACCCACTAGATTGGCCCCCAACCTTGCTGTCTTGCGTTTCTTGTGCTTTTTGTGCTTCTTGTTACCAACCTCCTAGCGTTGGCCCCCAACCTGCTTTCGATGGCCTCCAACCTAAGCGAGAGGACCTCCAACTTTGACTGTTTTGACTGTTTTGCTGTCATGTTTCTTGTCACCAACCTACTAGCGATGGCCTCTCAACCTGCCTTCGATGGCCTCTAACCTAAGAGCGATGGCCTCCAACTGTTGTGCCTCGTTTTACTCAGGCCCCTATTTTAACCTAGGTTGGCGTGTGGCACCGCTGTCAAGTCCGTACGCATATCCATAAGTGTGTGAGTGTGTTAACACCTGTTCCTAAGGTTTGTGCCTAGTCGGTTTCTAGAGGGCTGGTTGCTACTAGCTGCTCTTGGCCTTGCTACTAGGAACTAGAGGCTTCTAGAACCCCAGAGCTCACCACTACTTGAGAACGACGAGGCAGGGGTGCGGAAACAAAAGCAGGGGGCCACAGCTCCATTCATCAGTCTGTGGCCAACGAAGCTACTGATGTTTGGAGAGGATATGAACCTGGGACGCCAGGTTCACGTACCTGCAACAGGTTTGAACTTTTGCCCACGCTGTTCCAATCTCTTTTGTTTGCTTCCATGGTGGTTCCACGATACTTCCCCCAAACCATTTCCCTCCGCCGCTTTCAACTGCCGCACGCTGACCGCTTGCGAGTGCATTTCAACAAGATGTTCAACAATACTGTTTTGCGGACTCTGCACCTTTCCGTTCCCTCACCTTCCTTCTCGCTGTGGGAATTGAGTTAACAGAAGACCAATGTCAGAGTGTGAACCGCTCAGCCGTCCCACTTGGGTGCTGGGTGTGATCCTCCGCAAGGAGGCGCTGCAATCATTCCGGAATTCGTGTTACTGATTCTTCGTTTCCACCACTCGTTGGATTCTCTTAACCGACTTCTTTTCACCTTGAATTAACTGCCTTTCGAGCCGCCGGGCTAATACGGTTACCACCTTTTGATTACTGAACCCTTGACCAGGGCATGCTGCTAAGTATTTACATGTCCACGTCACGCTGCTAAGTATTCACAGGCCAGATTCAGTCGACCGTGTCACTCGGACGACTTCGGGTTTGCTCGAGGCTTTAGGTTCAGCTAAAGAGTTGCTCGAAGTTTTTCAGGTTCCAGGTGAAACTGTTGCGCCTTTTTGCGCCCGAGCGGTGGGAGAGTTCGGCACGCGAACGACTAAGTAATCTCTTCTGGTTCTTTTGTTTTTTCTTTCCTGCTGTTGCTTTTCGTTTTCTTGAGGCCTTTCTTTACGTTTCAGGTACCTTTCAGACGGGCGCGCCGGCCCAAAATCGGCTTTACTTGAATGCCAATGTTGGCAAGCCTTCGGGCTTTCTTCCCTCCCTGCCCCAGGCCTCTGTTGCTATCCCACCCGCTATTCGGGCAACGGAAGGAAATCGCACTCAACACACTTGTGTGTTGGTGCCTTTCCTTCCGTTTCCCCTATCCTATTGCTAGCTACCCGAGCGGTCTAAGACAAATGTCCCGCTCGCGAACTACTTTCATTTAACTAAGTGGGCCTCGTCGCTATACCTATCTTTCTTTCTTGCCCTCTTAGTCTGCTCTTGGTTTGTTTTCTTTGTCTGTCTTTCTAAGGCTCTTTAGGTGACTAGTAGTTTTTTCGGAACGCCAATATTGGCGTTATGAGTACAAAGCTGTTGCCAACAGACAGAGCGCCGAACGCGGCATCCTGTGTGTGTTAACACCTGTTCCTAAGGTTTGTGCCTAGTCGGTTTCTAGAGGGCTGGTTGCTACTAGCTGCTCTTGGCCTTGCTACTAGGAACTAGAGGCTTCTAGAACCCCAGAGCTCACCACTACTTGAGAACGACGAGGCAGGGACGCGGAAACAAAAGCAGGGGGCCACAGCTCCATTCATCTGTGGCCAACGAAGCTACTGATGTTTGGAGAGGATATGAACCTGGGACGCCAGGTTCACGTACCTGCAACAGGTTTGAACTTTTGCCCACGCTGTTCCAATCTCTTTTGTTTGCTTCCATGGTGGTTCCACGATAAACCATTTCCCTCCGCCGCTTTCAACTGCCGCACGCTGACCGCTTGCGAGTGCATTTCAACAAGATGTTCAACAATACTGTTTTGCGGACTCATGCACCTTTCCGTTCCCTCACCTTCCTTCTCGACGTGGGAATTGAGTTAACAGAAAACCAATGTCAGAGTGTGACTTGCCATCTCTGAAATGTGTCGGGCGAGGGTCGTCTATGATTGCCCCAGCAAAGCATTGGACAAGGTTTCCAGAAAGTGCTGGGAAATGCCACAAAAACGTAATGATGAATGATTTTGTAAAACTTGTTGAACGCTCCTTAAGTCATTCCTGCTCTTCCTTGGCACAGGGTGCACAAGAGGCTTCTGAGATCTTCCGAGGCTGTGTCGTGAGCGGTCAGACTTGACTGCTCTTGATCCATAGAATGGACAGAAAGTCAGTGTCGGGCAAATCTCTCAAAGCACCTTAACAACAACCCCGAAATCTGCCAAAGTCAGAGCGAAACCTTGAAGTTTATCTCGGTCCTAATGCTCCTAAAGTAGAGGATGCAAGTACATATCAGGGTTGGTAGATGTTGTCAAATGAGGATGGACCCACAGCTGTAGTGCGAAAAAGAATGCAAACAAGTTTGCAGGTCCTTTGTGCGCCATTCAGACAGTTCAAGGGACACAAGTATCCAGTTGCAATGAGTTCAAACGCGCACCAAATTTGTTCATCTAGTCCCTCCAAAGAGTTCAGAAGCTGTGAGTGGTTCATTGTTGCACAATGTATATATATATATATATGTAATATATACATCATTCTACTCAACTTTCAAAAAAGATCATATCATGCGTGGGCACTAGATTTCACAAGTATCACCCGACGCAGGCGACACCACAAATCGAAGTGTGGCACCTCTCCATTGGTGCAATGGCCCGCAAACGGCGAAAGCAGGCAATTTTGCACGAAGGTGTCCACAGCAGCCGAGCTGCAAAAGAAATCGCTTCGAAAGAAGGCCAAAAGCAACAGCAAAGCGATGCAAAGCACTTCGCTGGGCTTTTCAGCCGTGGCTTTGATATCTTTTTGTGAAAAGTGGCAGCAGTGCGAGGCTTCAAAATAAGTCGCTGTATTCCGGTAGTGCAAAAATGCACCGAATATCATGTCCAATGACTTGGATGTGGTCTCAAATGGCATCTTTTGCACAGACTTCCATGGCACGGAACTCACTTGCGTTCATGTTTTTGTTTCAGAAAATGCATCAACAATGCCCTGTCAACTTGAGCTGATTTCTAAACGAGGTCTCGAGACCAAATTTCAGAATTCGATCGAAGGACTCGGCGAGGATTGCTCAGGTCAGGGTCCGAGCACCATTCCTAGCTAAACAACTAAGCATGGTGCCTACAGCGTTCGAAATGTCATGAAAATGCATGAAAGGTTCTTTTGTGTTCCTTGGTTTTCTGAAAGCAAATCGCCGATTGACTGACTCTAGCCAGGGCTTCAAATGGCCATCTGACTGAGTCGTACCAACCACTGAACCAATCTGGTCCGGCCATAACAATTCCAAGCCGACCTCGCCAGTGCAACTTGGTTGCACTCGGACCCAACTAAGTCACAGCGGTTGGCAGACTGTTAGCAAGGACCGCATCAAGGAGAAGCGGCTTCAAGCTGCATCACGCCACACTGCTACGCCTATGTTACTCATGAATGTAGTTCGACTTGGCAAAAGAACTATATAGCAGCTGGATTGATGACTCTTTCCAGCTTCGATGCAGCTCTAGCTGATCCTTCTCCTTCACTGGTCAGTCTTCTTGCTTGGCTTCGACAGGTTCCCCCGCATAAAACATCCAAACACTACAAATGCTGTGACTTGTGAAGGAACGCGGGAGAACAGAACACTCGCAAACTTCCAGGCATTCCCGGACATCACTTTGGTCACTTTGGGTCACCGAGGACACTGTGCCATCTGGAAAGAGGGAGACACTGCATCAAAGTTATGGCATTCATGGCATCATCAACTGATTCACATGACATGTTGACATCGTTTGCATCGTTTCTGGTACCTTTCAGTGTTTCTTGCCAGTATCTGAGCATCATACCCTTCCATTCTCTTTTTCAAACCTCAAAGACTCAAACAATTCCACACCCAGCTTCGGGCGTACAAAATCTAAACGGACTCTAATGACCCCACAAAACAAGAGTCCACTTACCCAACCTAAAAGAAATGGCCTCTGCCCTAGTAGAGATCGCCTCCAACCTAAATAGCGATGGCCTCCTACCTAGTAGAGATGACCTCCAACCTAGTAGAGATGGCCTCCAACCTAGTAGAGATGGCCTCCACCCGAATAGCGATGGCGATGGCCTCTTACCGCCTCTTACCTAATTGAACGATGGCCTCCAGCCTTGTAGAGATGGCTTCCAACCTAATAGCGATGGCCTCCAACCTAGTAGAGATGGCCTCCAACCTACTAGCGATGGCCTCCACCCTAGTAGAGATGGCCTCCAACCTATTAGGGATGGCCTCCAACCTAGTAGAGATGGCCTCCAACCTAGTAGAGATGGCCTCCAATCTAAAGGGACTCTTCTTTGCTTGTTCTTTGAACAAAGACTGACCCCACAAAACAGTCCTCTTACAGAAACTGGTCTGATGGTCGAGTCATCAGTCCTGCAACCAGGCCTGGAACGAGCCTGGGACCTGGCCAGGGTGTGGAATGCGTTTTGCGAACCGAAAAGAAAAATATATCATTATATCAAATGCAGTGTATGAACCAGAAAGTGAATCACTAAGTCCTGCATGGTGTTCTGTCAGTGTCCTCTTTTCACTCTTGGATGGAGGTATCCACTTTCGGAAAGGTCCTGTCTCCCTCTTGAGTGGTTCTTCCAGGCCATGTGTGTTGTGATTTTCCTGTTCCGGCATTGAAAATCTGGTCGGTGTGTCCGAGTATGACGATCACAATCGAATTGCGCATGAGGGCCTAGGGGGCCTTTGTTATCATTCCTACACAACCGACGGATATGAGACCAGGCTCAGGGCCTGCATACTAGCGTTATATCCACACTTGCTTGTGTCAGAGGGTGCACCGAATAACAATGTACTCAAGAAAGACATGAGAAATAGAAACCTTCGTGGAGGAAAAGCGGAGACGGAGTTTACACTTGCATGGAAAGTGAAAACGGAACCACTTTGACGTGCTCTGCGCAAAGTGAAACTTTGGCGTCCAGGCTGCGCTCCGCAAAGGCGTTTCAAATCTTACAAGTAACCCATCGTGCACCTTTAGTCCTTCGGTCTTTGAGAGAGTTCTCCATCGACCCCCGACCTCATTGGACCAACCGAAGCTCACACTCTGGCGTCTACTTTTATGGGGACGAGGCAAGGCGAATCCTGACATACTGTCAAACAGCATCACGAGCTGGATGCTAGTGGTGTCAAGTTGGCCTAAATACAATGAGAATGCGAAAGTCGACCTGCCACTCGCAACAATCAACGAGAATGCGCATGCATTCAAGACCTCGCCCGTATCGCAAGAGTGATTGCAATACTTTTTTTGCGCTGCCTACCGCCCTGTGTTGTTGAAACAACCCTGTCTACCAATTGAGCTGCGTAAGGTTGGTAGACGGGCCACTTAAGTCCGCAACAAAAATAAACGCGTTGGGGGGAGTTGTATGTAGTTGTGCTCTTTCCTCCTCTGGGAAGGTTCAGGGATTCGTAATAATATCTTCTAAAAGTAAAGAATAGAATCGTTGAAGTTGTTGTTTCTCCGTCTCTTTTGGCTTCTCTTGAAGCGCTTGTCTCTACTGAATGGTACCGATGACTGAGATCAGGTGACAAGACCCCCCCTCCTCCAAGTCTATGTTTCTTGTTTCATCCTCTTTCAGCTTGTCTGCTGCATGCTTCGTTTGGACGTTGGTCGCCTTCACAGCCACATGCTCAGGCTCTTCGCAAGCAACTGCGTAGGCGGTTGGTCGCGGCGGAGAGCTCTTCGGCTTCTCCTCGAGGTCAGAGAGGGTGGTCGCAAGAGGTTGGGCAGTGGTCTGAGAATCCCACGACTACCCTTTTTGATCTGTTTTCTTTGTTTCTACTAGCGATGGCCTCCAACCTCGCAACATGAAAAGAGTAGAAGAAGATAAAGAAGGACTTTTGCTTCACAACTTCACAGGACTTCTCAAGTTCCGTTGTCTTTGAAGGATTTGTCTGCCCGTCCTTCTGACATTGACTGCCGAATCAGGCCCAACATGCCGGAGAAGCTCATTTTCCGAAAGACCTTCCATCTGAGCATGGCGAAGCAAAAATTCTACCACGAGTGAGAGAGAGTGCATCTGCGTACCTCGAGACTGAAGACCTTTCAAAACTGCAACCGGGAAGATTCGATACCCTTTGCTCCTAATAGCGATGCCAGGAGCCCCTAGTAGCGTCCTTGCTCCTAGTAGCGATGCCCTTACATGCCGACTTGTTGAGGTAGCGACTTGCCTTAATTCTCTTGACTGACACACAGCAACACAAAGCGGACGACATCGCCCGGAAAAGCTCGTTGATCGGGCTCCTTTGAGACCTGTGGTGCATATGCCACAAAACAAAACCACCCAACCATCCCTGCCTTGTGCAGCTTCCGCCTTAGCGAAGAAAGGCAAACCAACTTGGTGCCTTCAGTCTCTGCACCTTTTGAACCAAAAAGCCACCCCTCTGAAGTGGTCAACAACACATACCTTGCCCACCGCCCTGCTGCAAGGTGGCTGCAAGGTATTGGAGATGGCTGTTGGCTCCTCACTTTGCCCTGCCATAGCAAGGATCTCCTGTGCCTCCTGCAGAATCCAGCACACTGAACACAATTTGAAATTTAAGAAATCTAACAAAAGCAGGAAAAAGTAGCTCCCACCTGCCACCTCTACCTTCCCCAGATTTTTGCCGTCGCCTCTAGGAAGCCTCGCTCTTCGGCGCGTGTCTGCAAATGTGGCAACAGCAACGCGAGCCTCACATGTTAGCGATGCAGCTAGCACCGCAAACACTGAGAGAAATTCAAAGTGTTGCATTCCGATTGAAAACAAACAAAAACAGCAAACACTTTTCCGTTGGTTGCTTCCCATCAAAGATGTGTCAAGAATCGTGACCTTAAGGGAAGACCCCAGAGAGGGAAATGTGAAAGCAATCTTTAAGTGAAAAAGGTGAAGTCATGAGTAAGCAACACTGCTGTTTTCCACGTCAAGAAGCAATTGTTTCTGCGAGAGCTGCTTCACTGCCTGGCACAAGGACGGATCCTCTACAAAGCTGAGAATAAAAAAGACTTTGTTTAAGGCCGCTCTGCCCCCCTCCAACCCACTAGCAATGGCCTCCAACCTAAGAGCGATGGCCTCCAACCTACTAGCAATGGCCTCAAACCGACTAGCGATGGCCTCCAACCTGCTAGCGATGGCCTCCAACCTGCTGGCAATGGCCTCCAACCTAAGAGCGATGGCCTCCAACCTGCTAGCGAT